GATCTTTTGGATAATACTTGGATGATATGGTGAACTTCAGTAACCTGTACAACAGACACCACATTACAAGTTCAGTACTTTAATACTCTACCTCAAAGTTAACCCAGTGCAACTATATGACAATGATTAATTGTTTAATGACCTTTAAGAAAATAATCGCTCATCATTCAGAGAATTAAAAGAAACATACAAATAACAGTCTGTGGGCAAAATGCAGTTACTGAAAGCTAAATTGGGTGGTAAACATAACTACCAGAAGCCTCTAAAGGGTTAATGTTTTGTTGCACAATACTCACCTCTCTGAAGAACAGGTCCTGACATGTAAGTCCCCACAGAGGCCTCTCAGCCACAACGTATTTGATGGCAGTGTCAATGACAGTACTATGACTGTAAGAAACAAGGACAAGCATTACAGGCACTCAATGGGGCTATGAAGGATCAGCTGTTGAAAGTGTTAATATGCACACGTGTACAGAACATACCACAACAAAAATATCATATGTCATCATTGTCGTATAAATATTTTGCAGAATTACCAGGATACTTCCACCTATGAATTTAATGAACATCAGTTGCTTTCTGATTCAAGTACTTCAAGCCAGAGGCAGAAAGACTAACCAAGTGGGTATAAAACTTCTCTCCCCCCCTGGGGGGGGGGGGTCAGAGAAAGAGACAGAGAAGTGACAATATGACGAACAGCACTGCATAAAGGAAAAATCCATAATTCAAAAGCTTCACCAAGTATTACCTGGGAGACAGGTAGCATAACCACATGATAAGAAATGTGTTCCAAAATGTTAGTTGGAAGAGACCACTGCAGATGAGAAAATTATATAAAATGGATTCTCTGAACTCTGCTCCATGGAGTTTGTAACCACATCACCAAAGCAAGAACTGAGAATCATGTAAGTAAATCCGAGCTTTCTTCGCATGTACACATACTTAGCCTGAAGTTGTCTTAGCGTCATAATGGCTACCAGTTTCTCAGCATGCTCCGCTAACACATAGGATGTTGCCATGACTACCCCACGGGATGTTACTGCAGAAAACTGAACAAAGAATAAAACAACAAAACTTCTTAGTCTGCACCTTGTAAGCATTTTTTCAATGTACAATATTGTTTACAATTGGGTAATT